ATCATCATGCAGGCTCGGAACTATGCCACACGCATGGGAGTGGAGAAGCATATGGGTTGCATGAAACTCCTTCATCTCTGCGTATTTACTGTGAAGCAAGAACTGAATTTATGTAACTCCGTTCATCTGCTTAAATATAACCCACAGGTATGTTCCTCTATAACATACATGTGAACGTATTTTTTTGGAGTCAAATCGAACTTTGTTGTTTAATGAAATGTGGTTTTGATATCCCGGCTTTTTTATTTTTTTTGGAAGAAAAATGTTTCCGTAACGCGATGCACGCAATTGTGTGTCTTGTAAACATCCTATCCGGCCAAAATTAATCCTCAAATTAAGCCACTAATTAATTGCTTAATTTTCGGAGCTTATATTGTTTTATATATACATATGAACACGTCAGTTTTCATTGCTTTAAGCATAAGATAAATGCGTTCATAATACTAGGATTAATATTTAAAATTCAATGGGCTAAGATGGACAAGAATTCGTAAAATTAATTTTAGAGTTACTTAAATAATTCAAATCTAGGTCAAGATAATATAATGTAATATTATAGAATATATAAAAAATGCTACGAACATAGTTCGGGAAAAATATTGAAAAAAGCCCATGAGGGAAAGTGGCTTTAGCTTTTTTCTACTTCCATCGATCCATTTTTCATTTAACATTTTAAGATAGTATAATTTAACTTCTATTTTGAAAATAAATAAAAATTATTATTATGCACTCCACCATACTAAGCAATTAGAATTTGACCGACCGCAATCAAAAACTATTGTGGTGAACCCACTGCTCTAGTAGCGGTTTGTAAAAAACCACAGGCAAAATCTCTCATATGCCTATAATTAATGTACTTATTAAATGTGAGAGATAAGAAAACTTTTAATCCTTTAAATTTGTCTAACTTATTGACTTAGTCCCTCAAAATTAATTTGTATTAATTTAACCTCTTATATTTTCTTAAATTATATCACATTAGTCTTTAAAGCTTTTTTTATAACAAGGGAAATATTACATAACAGAACTAATGTCATGCTACAAAATAGAAACTAAAGCCTGAGGAGGCGATAATAAAGGGGAAAAACCAGCCACACAAGACAACGCTTGCTTAGCGAGCACATCAACGGCTTTAAATAAATTCTAAAATTAATCTAGTGTACAAGTTAGTCTAAAATTAGTTTATAAATCTTTATTAATATAATATCTTACATTGTGTTTTGTTCTCTTTTATTTTTCAAAATTTCTCAGTATGTTTTTCCTACTTACATAATTACATTTCTTTTCATTAATTTATATAGTTATCATCAATAATTCGTTATTTATGTTAATATATTTTAATAGTGTTATCTTTTCTTTAAATAAGGATCAAATTGATACACCTGAGATAAACTTAAGAGATCAAATCAATAAAAATTTAAAAGACTAAAAATTTCATTACCTTTTAAGTGTAATTCTGGTTAAAGTTTGCTGCCGTACATGGTTTTGGAATCTTAATAACAGCTAGTTAAGCCACAGCTCTGAGTACTCATGTTTATCGTGTGGTGTTATAATTAACTGCTTAAATTGACCAAAGTGGTACGAAACTTGGCACACATGCTGTTGTTAGTAATGATTGGATATTGTTATGGTTAATTTGACGGAGCCTCAATTATCATGTGATTCATTAGATCATTTTTTTCCTATAAGACTTTTTAGAAAATAATTAAATATAAAAATTCGATGGGTTTAATGAGCTCTCACGTACTTTTTTTTTTCCTCTAGTGCAATTATATATTTTTTTTAATTAAAGGAGTGGGCATTAATGACTTAAAGTTGCAAGCAGGATTAAACTTGTGACCTTTCACTTATAAAGGAGTTTTCATACTATGAGGTTACAAGGCCATTGACTAGTGCAATTATATTTAATAATAGATAATAGATTTTTGTCCTTAATTTATCTTAAGTGTTAATGCTTAAACTATTAAATTGAGAACAAAACATTTTTCGTGTACTTAAAACATCATTCAAGAATTTCAATGGGCCTTAATTTATTTAGTTTTGATGAGAAGTCAAAGGGCTTTTAGGCGTCTTCTATTTTAACCACCGCGCACAAGTTTCGAAAATCATTCCCAAAAAGTCAAATAAATTGATTGTCAAAAACTCAAAACTTTAGAAAAGCTCTTAATTACGAAACGCATAACAGTAGTATAAACTATAAGCGCACCATCAAAGTAAAAAGGTAGGTTTGATAAATAAAACAAAGAATATCATGTGCGTCAAGAACAGAGAACTTATATACTCAAAAGAGATATGACTTAAATTAAAAGCGAGAATATTGGTATGTAAGAATATTCAAGGTAACTACGTATATGGTTAATAGGTCGAGGTTCATGCATTTTGATTAATATTTGACGCGTCGAAGATGGATTAGGTCAAATGTAGGATAACGAGTTGAACGTGGGAAGCAATAACAAGAAGCACATGTTTAATGATTGAATTTCTTTGAACCTATGGAAACTTGATCAACAAAATCCATATTGCTCTTTTATTTTCTTGCAAGGTAAGCATGGGATTGGATTTGGATTCACAATGAGTCATTTTAGTCATTCATTTCGTTCGCATTGTGAGTTGCAAATATATATAATAACTGAGACATGTTATCATTTTTTTTTCCTTGAATCAACTAATTAATAATAATTCAAAATTAAATTTGGATATGATCACTATGTGAAACTTGAGAAGATGCAATTCTTGAATCGGTCACTCTTCTCTTGATTGAATGAGTCGGTGACTCTACATGCCCATGTGTGACTAACGCTTATTTTTCTTGTTTTCTCTTAAAGGATAATCAAACTTTTAATCTCTAAAGTTTGTATTAGTTATTAATTTAATTTTTATTGATAATTAGGTTTATTAAATATGTTTCAATTATCAATTTAATTTTTTTTATATTAAAAGGACGTAACACTATTAAAATTTATTGATATGGATAATAGAATATTAATAGTAACACTGCTACAAAAAAGAGTATATTAGAACCGTTTAATATATGGCTATTATATATTTGTAAAACAAATATTAGATGATTATAAGAATCTTCTAATTTTTGGAACTCAATATTGGTCGATTCTTAACTTTAACAACGTCCCAACATCCAAAGATGGGATACAATGAATGTGGACATTGGAGGGGAGGCCATATTGTTGATTAATGAAAAAAGTGACTATTTAGATAAGGTAAAAAAGGCTCAAGAATTTTGAAAAGCAACAAAAATCAATGCAATCTAATAGATTATATTAATAAAAATCAAGCTAATAATTTAATGACTACTTTATTTTCATTTAAACTATATTTATATATATACACACACCTTTGGCCAAAAAGAACTATATGTGTGTGTCAAGTCATCAGCGTACTTTTCAAATTACATTAATTTGAGAGTTAATTCATGTTTTAATAATTAAAGAATTAACATAGATAATTTGAAAGAGGATTAAATAGCTATTTAACTCCTAAACTATAGGTTTAAGACTATCTGGGACTCTAAACTCATTTTTTGTGTAATGTTATTCTTTAACTTTTAAAAATAATGTAATATAACATTTACCATTAATAAAAGTTAATTTTGACTATTAATTGACCCTAAAATAACATAAAATATAGAGCTGAGAGAGAAAAAAAAATTTAGTTTTATTTATAGGGCACTTGCCATTTTTTCAATGCTTATGTTTTTATTTTTGCCCTCATTAAATGCTTCGAATAAAAATATTAATAATGAGATTTAAAAATATTTATTAGAAGTAAAGATGGAAACTTGTTAAATTTTAGGGTTAATGAGCCACTAGGATCTTAAACCCTTACGTGAAAATCACCCTGAACTCTTAAAATATATAAAATAAACTTTAAATTTTTAAATTCATAGCAAAATAAACCCTAATCGTTAACTTTTTTTAATGTCGTTACTGTTCATGTGAGTACTGTAATAGTCAAGGTTAAATTCGTAGGAAAATAAATCCTAAATAGTACTTGCTTGAACAGTAACGATGTTAAAATGTTAACAGTCAGGATTTATTTTGTTATGAATTTAAAAATTTAGGATTTATTTTGCATATCTTAAGATTTTAAGGTCCATGACAATTTTCAAGCAAAAGTTCAGGATCCTATTTGCTAATTAATCCTAAATTTTAAGACAAAGTTAATGAAATTTAAAAGTTTCTTAAGTTCTAGTGAAATATGTTAAAAATAATTTATAAATAGAATTGAAGAGAAAGAGAGACATATAGGTTAGTGTGAAATTTATTGAGTCTACTAAGGTTTGATATCTAGCATTGATTGTGCACTATTTTGAGCCTCAAAGTAGTTAAAGTAACTCTTCTAATCTCATTTCTAATGACCATTGTTTTAAAACATGAATCGAACAATCTGAAGCTATTAACAATTCAATTTAAACTAAAAATTATTTTCATGAATGAGCTAAGTTACACCAAAACGGAGCTGCTTTTGAGCTGGGAACTAGAACAATTTTCAGAAAATAGGACAAGTCTAAATATAATATAAAAATGCTAATTTTTTTAAATAAGATAGGAAAATTTGAAAATTAATCCCTCCTAAAGGCTAACTTCAATTTTGGAATATATAATACAATTTGAAACCATTTTCTAGGGAGACATTAACAATTATAGATACAAAAGCAAATACTTTTAAATATGCTATGACTTGATTTAACCAAAATCCATCCATATTTGATAAATTATAAAATTATAATATTATTAATTTAAAATCATGTTATGTTATTTGATACACAATGTGAATTTATATACATATATATATATTAATATTATATGCATTTAATATTATCTTCTATTTAATTTTGATTCAGTTACTATGTCACCAATTCAACTGTTACTCTAACTAGTTGGACTCCAAAAATCAAGACCTGCTAATTTTTCCCAGTTCACACGCGCGCACCCCACACACACCAGAGCTCATCTAGTAGAGTATAAGTTAGAAACAAAAAAGGTAATGAACATCAACATATTAAAAGTGAGAGAAGAATAAACCGCAAAGATTGCTTGTTTACATCTATATCAGAATCAAGAGTGTAGTTTCAACGGCTTTCAAATTCAAATTTGAGAAGGATTATAAATTTGTGAATGCTATGTTCGGCAACATCAGACTAGTTGGTCAGAGTATGACCCGTTAAAGATCAACCTTAAATAATAAACAAAGATGGATATCAAATTGACCCAAATAGTTCACATGCGTTTCCCAGCTTCATCCAGGCCAACCCTTGTCACTCTACTCTGGTTGGTGAGCCAACAAATCACAATCATGCTTTGGTCCAATCCATAACCACAGAATAAGGCTCTGTTGATTTCTGCTCGATTACACTATACATTTGGTGATTCCCATCTTGATAAGAGGAGAAAGTTTACTTGAATGAATTGAAGAAGCTGACTGTGTCCTTGAGGGCATGAATGAAGCTGTCGATATCTTCCTTCGTGTTGTAGAAGTAGAGACTAGCACGTGCACTCGCATTGACTCCGAGATAACGATGGAGAGGTTGGGCACAATGGTGACCTGACCGAATAGCCACTCCATGCTGGAATGAAATAACATGTCAGTTCAACAAGCGATATTTTCCAAATCGTATTAAAAAAAACTATCACAATTTTATCTGCCTAGTTCATATCATGATAATTCAATATAGAGCTCTATCTTGTTCCCTCCCTTGACATAGAACACTGAATTACATTTTTCACAAATCTTTCAAGTTAGTCCTTCAACATTAAAATGCTTTAAACATTACCTATCCACCAACGCCAGGCCAGATAAGTTGCCGGCATAGAAATTTATGGTTGGTACTGTTAACTCACCAAAGATTGATAGTTTTTTTTTTTGGGAAATTAATCCATAGGTCCATATATTTTATTTTAAATTTTGAATTAAGTCCCCATAATTTATTTTGATTTAATTAAGCCCATATATTTTGATTGATTAAATATGTTAATCTCTAAAAACTAAAATTTTTAAAATTTTCCTTTAAAAAAAAAAAGAAATTAAGAACTTTTATATTTTCATTAAAAGATTATATAAATTTAGAATTAATTACACAATTTTTATAACTCACAATCTATAGAATTAGGTTATGACTTCTAGCTAATTCTTCTATGTATGAATTGTCATAAAAAAATTTAATAAAAATGTAACAATTGTATTAAATCAAATTCTCTTTCCTTTTTCAGGCCAAAAGTATTAAATCAATTTTTTTATAAATTTTAAAAGTATTTTTATTTTGAAAAAATTAATATTTATTAATAATTATAACCTTTGAGGGATTAACATATTTAATTGATCAAACTCTAAGGACTTGATTAAAATAAAATAAACTATAAAGACCTAATTCAAAATTAACAAAAACTAAAAAGAAAGATGGGAAACACACCCCCAAGAAGCATTCTAAAAATTGAGAGACCAAATTGAAAGAAATTACCAGTGGGGGACAAAATAGGAATTCCCACACAGATTATAAACAAAATCTGTGCTGTTATATAAACAGTAGGTTATATATAGATCAAGGAGTTAGTCATCTATTGCTTACCTGTTGATCCAAAAATGTTGCAAGGTCAGTAGGATGTATATTCTCAACATTGAAAGAACAGAGAGCAGCTCTTTGGTATTCATCCGAAGGTGCTGGTCCATAGATGCGAATATTTGGCACAGAAAGCAGGCTTTGGTACAGATATCCACCGAGCTCCATCTATGTAACCAAAGACTATAAACAAAATTTATTGCTGTGCAAATTTTTTTTTTTTTTTTAAATGTCATCTTGAACTATATTTTTATTGAACTTGTAATCATAGAGTTGAAGCAAATTTTCTCCAGAATTAATACATTAGGTCATTTTTCTTATTTCTTTTTACAGAAAACGGAACTTTTGATCGTCAAAGTTTTACCCAATTTACAATGTGGCCCTTGTGTTTTAATTGGTATTAATAATTTGCAATTGTGTTTATTTGAAATGTCAAATAAACAGTCCTCATGCTGTTGTAAATGTCAAATGAAACTTCATCTAAAATTGATTATTCTCACGCTGATACTAATTATGGTATTGGATTTATTTAATTTTTGCTATTTAATTGACATATCAAAGCAAGAGGACCATTTATTTACATTTTGAAACTCTGGTGGGATGAGAGTAATACCAATTAAAAGAAAACAGGGACCAAGTTGCAAAATACGTGAAACTTTAAGGACTAAAGTTATGTTTGCCATTTTATTTAAAATAAACGCAAGTTTTTGACATACAAACATTTTCTACAATCATCATCACCCATAATAAAGTTTCAAACTGTAAAATTTTGCAATGTTAAACATTAAAATATAGAAAACCTCCAGATTCTACTATAAAATTCATTTAGTAATGTAGAAGGTTACTTTAAACATCCTGATTCTAAAATGTATCAAGTTTATCATAATTTGAAAGTCCAAACTAGCATGGGAGGCGCAAATCTGAACGATTCAAATTTAATAATTTTAATTTTAATTTTAATTTTTATATTTATTAAAATAAAATATATAAAAATTATAAAAAAATTAATAAATATGCTCATCAATCTAACAGTCCAAATTTAACACTAAAAATTTAAATTGACTATCTAAATATACTCTGGACAGTGAAAATATGCTATGGACAGAGCAATCAACTTATTAAAAAATTTTAATATTAAATTTGGATCATTTATATTAAATCTAGACTGTTTAAATTGGAAAGCAGATTTATTAAAAATTTTATATATTTTTTATTTTAATAAATATAAAATTAAAATAAAACTTAAAAAACATGAAATCTGAACTGTCCAGATTCAATGAGAGAGGTGCGGAGTAGGCTTCCCTCTGCAACTCCAAAATAGAAGGCAACCCTGTCCTCACCACTTCTCTTGTCAGTCCCTTTCATCCTTACAGAAATTTTTTTGCTCGATTGTTTCACTTATGATGCTATAGTTTTTTATTGAAAATTATTTAAAGCTTTCATTTAACAAGGATAAAGACAAATGTCCTGAAATATAGAAAAATAAATATACCATTTTGCATAACTCTGCATTTCATCTAATTGACATATATGCAATAACAAGATCTAATAATTAAACACCATGCACCAGAAGCTTAAATCAAGATAGAAAATTTGTCAGCATTGACATCGCACTTGCACTCAATTCTTTTAAAAAAAAAAAAAAAAAAAAAGCGGGGACTCCCGCTCATTTCTTACTTCTAAGGAATAATAAAATTGCATTGCAAATCAGATTAAACATTGACTAACCTCATAATCATGAATCTTTTGCATACCAACCCCAGATAAGTAATCAATTGCTGCTCCAAACCCAATGGCTTCACCAATTGCTGGTGTTCCAGCCTCAAATCTAACGACCAGAATGGCCAAATTAATGAGATACAGATAGCAATGCAACCATTATAAATAAGAATCATCAAAATAGAGAAGGGGAAAGCCCATTAGGCATGAGCAATATCCAAGAAACCACGTCCGTCATGAAACCAAACAATAATGCAGTTCAAAGTTCAGTGCTGGTTGGACCGTTGAACCAGATTCAAAAACAAAAACCTCTCCAGAATCAACAATCCCAAAAGAAAAAATGTTAATTTGGCAAAGATGCCGTGGCAGCAATAAGTGTAGACTGCCCAAGTTTCTAGCCTTATACAGTTTTAGTGCCCCCAGCACCCTATTCTCTTCTGTTGGCATTCTAAGGTACAGTTACAAACTTAGATGACGCACGACAGGAATTTGGCATCTAATCTCACATGGCAACTTCTGGAATTCAGTGCCTTTGGAGGCAACTGCGCAGAATTTTCTGAAAACTTAATTATTAATAATTTTACTATGTGAAAGTTTAAATGTAATTAGTGATGCCTTCTAAAATACAAATTCTCATTAAGGTCATCCACTATAACTGACATCGAGATGATTCTTTTGTTAGAAAAAGGGACATAATGTCTCACGCACAGCTTAGGATTTCATAACTCAATCCTGACCCTGTTGAAGGTAAGACTTACAGGTCTACAAAAAATGGGATGATGTAGGAACTTTAGAATCAGCTTAATCATTGATTAATGTAATTGGCTAATTCAAACAACTGCAGACCAGTTTCCATAAAAAACAAAGTCATTATCCGAACCAAATAACAGGGAACTTTAATCAGCTCCAGTTAAAAATGGTGGTTGAGCTGACCTGCCTATCTAGTGAAAGAATAATTGACTTTGAAGAAATAACTTAACAACAAGGAAAGGTTCTGGGATATTTACAAAGGGCTTTCTATTGACTGATATGTATTTTTTGACAATAACTAAATGTTTGAATTAATCACTTCTTATGGGTTTCAAAACATTTTTGCCAGAAACAAAGCAACTGATTTGCTAAGCATGTGATAGTGCAAAGCAATAAGCATAGCTACCAGCTCTGTTCATAGCCGTGCGTTATACATAAGCATAAGATAAACTGAATCAATAGGGGGAAGAAGTTCAAAAACCTGGATGGAGGATCAGCATAAGTCGAATGACTGAGAAATACATCAGAAATCATTTCTCCACCACCTAAAGAAATTATAGAGGTAGCAATGGTAAAATTACCTTCAAAATGAATAGTCTCACTAACCTGGTATCTAAAGCAAAAATAATTCATTTTCTTCCTATTTAAATTTGTTATTAATTTCTGAAACAGAAGATGTATGGAAATTATATTGACTTACCCAAAAATGGAGGCATGGTAGACAATATATCACTTTTACCATACAAGAATCCAATGCCTGTAGGCCCACACATCTGAAATATGTTTGATCATCCAATTATTACATTCATCCTGATGTTTTTTTTTTTTTTTAAATCTAAGAAATCATACCTTGTGTGAAGAAGCAACAAGAAAATCAACATTGAGGTTCTGAACATCAACCACCATGTGTGGAACACTTTGACAGGCATCTACGAGCACTCTGGCTCCAACATCATGTGCCCAATGTGCAATTTCTTCAATTGGAAGGACAGAAGCTACAGAGAAGCAGATAACAAACTAATGAATATTCATCCATATCGGCCCTTCTTTCCAAGAATCAGCAACAGGTGGTACTATTGTGCAAATAAAAATCGATGCAGGCCTCACAACTCACCAGCATCAAAGGAGAGCCTATTTATGTGGATGTCATGTTTACGTTATAGTAATGAACATGCCTTGGAACTTATTTAGCAAGCTTGCATTCTTATTGATAGCATCATGATATCAAGCCCAAGGTGCGTAGCCTAAAGAAAACTATAGCAAAGCCTTTCCATTATACTATAGCAAAACTATAGCAAAATAGAAAACTATAGCAAAACTATAGCACAAGGGTCATTTTTTTCATTCTCAAAACCTTTTTTTTTCCATTATACTACCCTTTCCATTTCATTCCATTCTATATACTGAACAAGCTAAATAGAATTAAGTTTTTTATAGCTTTAGAATTGTGAAACAATCAATTTACAACATTTGGTAAAGTAAATTTACTTTGCAAACTTTATTGCCGGAATGGGGGGAAATCCTTCTGGCTCTGCCAAAAAGGATGTTGGATACAATCCTAAAGCAAGTATTTAATTCCAAACAAGACATTGATCCTTCAAAAAACAAAATAGTTAATAATAAAGGTTGAAATGAAACTTCAAAACCTTCAGCATAAATTCAGCTTGAACATAAGTACTACTTCAGCATGCCCAAACATTCAATGCTCCAGTTTAGCAAGAGAATTTATTAGATACAACACAAGAGCATAAGATATAGTGGGCATTAAACCACAAACCTTTTGGGGGAGATATTAAGTTATTTAATTAATGAAACAGGGGAGTTAATAAGCAGCAAAGAAAAAGTGTAAAAACTTCAAAATTTACCAGAGACATGATAACCTTAATTTAAAGTATGATTAAAAGGTGTGTGTGTGTGTGAGAGAATCAAAATGAAAAACCTACCAAGCACATTTGAAACATGATGGACAACTATTAGTTTTGTCCTCCTCGAGATCATTTCTTTTAACTTATCAATATCAGGAGCTTCATCTTGGTTTAGATCAACAAATTTCAAAACAGCCCCAACTCTTTGAGATACAAGTTGCCAAGGTACAATGGCACTATGATGTTCAGCAACTGTCAGTATGATCTGTGAGAATGGCATACATGATGTCAGATCAAGAATACTTTACAAAAGAGAAAATAGATTTATGATTCACTCCCCAAGGTGAACCATGAAGCCAGATGAAAGTATTTATATCTAAAACATATGCTAGTGCAAGGAGAATATTAAGAAAGTCTTTCATGGATGAAGAGAGGGAATAAAATTGGAGGGGGGGAAAAGAATTCTGAATAAATCCAATATGCTCTGCATTCAACACGAGAGAAAAGATAATGCTCTCTCTAAATATTAAGAAAAATTTTCAAGTTATAATTGAACAATGAAATGAGCTGAGATTTTCATTTTCAAAATTGTAATCAAGCATGACAAACCTCATCTTCTGGCTTTAAATTTGACAAGCCCCAAGAATATGATACTAGATTGATAGCTTCAGTAGCATTTCTAGTAAATATAATCTCTCTTGAATCTGAAGCATTGACAAATGCTGCGACCTTCTTTCTAGCCAATTCATACTCATCTGTGGCTTTTGCACTATATTCATGAGAAATAATAATGCATCATAAAGCAAGTGATCATAATATAATAATTAAAAAAAAAACCACATTTTGAAAGATGCTACAATTTTATTTTTCCACTGTAAATTCATGTCCAAAGGAGGAAAGGAACTGAATTTAAATGTTGCCTTAGAAAGTGCATGTGTGTATCAGTTTCTAACAGGAAAAGCACCTTAAGAAATGAATGCCACGGTGCACATTTGAATTATAAGCTTCGTAATAATTTTGCAAGGTCCTTAAGACACTAGTGGGCTTCTGAGAAGTTGCCCCATTATCCAAGTAAACAAGTTTTGAGCCATTCACTTCCTATACATTGAATTAAAGTATTAGAACTTCATAAGATGTACAAGAACAACACACTCAATTTTTTTTCTCAATGAAAGGAAACATGAGCAGTCAAAACCATAATATACCGCAAATATGCAAAATAGTAATTAAGACCCAAAAAAAAAATACATAGAAAATTATAAAGTAAAAAGGTACAGCCAATCCATAAAAAGATAAGGGACTTACAAAGTTCTCAGCAATTTTGCAGACTGATTAAGGCTAAGCTAATGCCAATATAGATTGATAATGAATTTTAGCATTCAGAAATGTAACTTTGTTTATAGTGCTAATTTAAAAAAAAATGGGAGTAATGAGATAAACTCGTATCATCGCATGATAATTAAACATCGTATCATCAGATATAGACTGCACTTAGGAAAAAACAAAAATTAATCATAAGAAATTACCTACCTGGTGGAGAATGGGGAAGTCAGGTCTGGTAGATTGACCCAGAGAAGAAGAGCCAAGAGCAGGTTTGGCCACTTCTTCATTAACTGTGGATGCACAAACAGAAGGAGAAGAAGACAAACGACGAAATCTAAATCCAATAACTGATGATCTTCCACTATTGATAGAGCAGCAGCAAACGGGGCTTGAAATTTTGAAAGATGGAAGCTTTGGAGCCAAAACTTCCATTAGTGAACTCCCAACAAGAAAGTGAACTATTTTGCCCAACTAATATATATTGAGCTCGTGGGAGCGCAAATGCTGTTTTTATATCTGGGGAACAAGTAAAAGTTAGCATTACAAAGGATTTGAAGCATGCACTTGGAAGATCAACCACATCTAAATATTTTACACAGGCAAGCTTCATAGAGTGAGAGAAATAGAGGATTTGGAAGCTGATGCAAAACAATGCTGGGACTAACCTGCCACCACATAACAGGAAGAAGATGCCAAAGTAGAGGGAACACATCAATCTGCTCCTATGGTCATTTTATATTCAATTTCTCTTTTCAATCAACTCAACACACTAACAACTTTAAACTAGATCCAGTCATAGCCTTTCCCTATCTCACTGGATATCCTCCTTTGTCCAAGTTCTCCCACAGTTACAGCCACGCAATTTGGTTAGAGACCATGTCGGTAAAGAACTACAAATATTTAATCTATACTATAGTCTAGACATGATAAAAAAGATAAAAGTTTCCGGACACCAAATACTTCACTCCCTCTCTTTTAATTGCTATCTGCTATTGACCTAGACAGCATAGATACGAATGCAGTCAACCTGAGAATATTAAAAGCGGCCATGTATAATTTACATTATCATGCCATGCCTGATAAAGAATGTCAAGCGAGTGTTGGCCACAAACTTCTCATTTTTTAAGTGTCAAGCTTGTATAATTTTTTAAGTGGCCACAAACATTGCTTATTCACAGTAGTCAGCTTATCCTTCCATGATTTGTATCATGGGATAGGTCCAACATTTGGTTATTGGAAAGACATAAGCCTGATAAAAAGCATTAACTTAATTAGTACAAGAGGAAACCAAAAAAGAAGAAACCATAGCCTATCTTTCATCATTCGCTGCCTCAAACAAAAGGTGGGGAATGACCAAAGATGCACTAGTGGATTAACATATATATATATATATATATATTACAAAGCCACTCATGTTCGTTTGTTCAAAACAATTCAAATATCTATGCCTTCACCAGTCAGAAAGGAACTAGTAGGTTAGCATCATGTTAACGCACACTGGTGATGGATTTAAAGGTAAAAGAACTGCAGAAAACTACAGAGCTATCTCAAATTGTTCCAGTATTATATTTAACATGTGGTGATGATATTTGTTGCCTGCTTAACCATTTACACAATGAAGATAAAATGTTCTCTCACATTCAGAATCTAGACCATCAGTTGCGCGAGGAAAGGAACATATTTCTCGATCATATTCAGAAAATTTATATCAATCCATAAAGATCCACAATTTTTTTCCAGCATGAAGACCGATAGAAGCTATACATGCATTATCAGGAAGACCAATTTTTCTCCCAATTGCGTGCTGATATGAATCATCGCCACCTGACGATATTTTTACTAGAGCTGGAAGAGAGTAGAAGAGAGATTGACAAGAGAAAGGAGTTGCATTGAATAGATACAATATGCAGCAACAGAGAACAACAAACCCGATATGGTGACTTTTAAAAACACGTATGAATCGAAATCAAGACCTTTCACGAAGGAAAAAAAAAGGTAAAATAAAATAAACAAGATATGCTTCCTCAAGTTTGTAATGAGAGATGGAACGAAACACCCAAATGAGGATATCTGATCCTCTGTCGAGCTCTATTGTCCCTCTCTCTCTACTGAAATTTCTAAATGTGCTAAAACAATGAAACTTGCATCAACCCACAGAAAACATTCACAGCTTCGCAATTCCCATCAATATAGGTGATAGAGAACGACACAGGTGATAGAGAAAAAAAGTCACACCTGTGGCAATGGTGACAGCAACTAGAGCGGCCACGGCACCGTGGACGGCGACGGCGGAAAAGGCTGGAGGTCAACTCTGGCGCGACAGGAACGAAAGTGTGGAGGAGAGCTGCTTCACGAATGATGCGAGGTTTAATCTGGGAAGGGGTATTTTGGTTTATCATATTGTAGCATCGGCGGATTAGTACCGCTGCATTTTTGGTTTGGCTTCTCACCCTTTCTTTTCACCCACTTTCCTTTTGGAAGGAATTTCAGTTAAGGGTTACGAGACTTAATTATCAGGGTGAATATCTTTACTTATTAATTTATTAATTATAATAAATTAATAAGTAAAATTATCAATTTAACAATTGATGATGTTATTACTTATAATTAAATAACTAACGTCAAGTTTTATATAATTATTAATATGTCAACTCATATAATTTATAACTCATAATAATAAATTAATAAATGAAACAAGAAAATTAATAATTAGTAATTCTGCATAACAAATGAAAAGTATTTTAATTTTTTTATTATTAAAATTATTTTAACATCTATTTTCTTTATTAAACTGAAATTTTAAAATTTTGTAATACGCACCAATACTTAAGTCTTTTTCATGATCTTTAATTAAAATTCTCCCTTTTTTTTTACTTTCCATCTCAATCCTTAAACCCATGTTCATTCCTCAAATCCATTTTTGAAAGTTGAACACAATGATGTTTGATAAAATTAATTATTTATTTTTTAATTATAATCCTAAATTTTGAATTGTAATTTAGATAAAAGGGTAAAAAATACAAATTTAGTCTTAAACTATTTTTTGAGAGTCATCGATGTAACATTTTAGATTTTCAAATTAGTAATTATTAGTATTTCTAAGAGTATTTTGATTAATTTAGATAAATTATTGATTAAAGACGTTTATGGAAAACTAATATAGTTTTTGAATTCTTTGACAACCTTAGGAGAATGCTAGATCGATGTTTGAGTGGGCCATGATACAGAAAAGAGTTTAAATTTTTGGTGGGACTCTTCGTATCCATGTGCAACGGCAGGTGTATCCATACGCCGCAACGTACGTGCAAAATAAGTACTTGTTAAACGCAAAAAATAGATCAAAAATTAGAAAACAAAAGAGAGATATTGTGAGAGGGCGACAGAAACCGACCAGGGTTTGCTAGGGCACTATCTTTAGGCCACATTGGAAGCATTTGGAGTTTGAATCATTATTGGGTAAGTTCCACATTCCCTCTTCTCCCTCTTTATGCAAAAATCTGGACTAGTGGGGTGATGAGGGTTTGATTTCAGTTTTCTTAGGTTTAAACCAAGCTCATTAATTTATTTAAGGTATTAGGGAGTTAAATCAAGTATTTAATCTTAGGCTTATGAGTTTTATGGTAATTTTAAATTTTTGTTAAGGGTTTGAATGAACCCTAAACATAATCTGAAGGTTTTGAGATAATGTGAGGAATTGACTAGTAATTTTGGTGTATTGAGATGTTTAATAGGATGGTTAGAGTGTTTGAAAATGGTTAATGTAGTTAAATAAAGAATTTAGGTGTTATAGGTATTTAGAACCTCATGAATTTGAGGTTATCTAAAGTGATAATTAATAAATATCACTTGATTGTGTAAATTAAGTGTTGCTCGAGCTTATCATGCATATAGAAAGTGTGAAGCTAACGTTGAGCCATGTTAATCCTTTTGTGTGATAAAGGGTTAAGGTAATGAAATAATTTACTCTATTTGATTGTATTGCTTAACTGTTTGTAAGTAAATATGTTAAATTTATTACTTGAGAATTGAAAACCTTGCATATTATGAAATGTGGTTTTGTGCATGAAAAACTATTTACAAATGATGAGAATGGTAAAAATTTATATGGACTGATTGAAAAATTTGAAATGTGTATGTGTTTATATATGAGTGTGAATGTAATAATGTTAGGGGTGAGAATTCACCTGTAGAAAAGAGTAGTGAAAATTCATACGGTATGTATTTCTTTACTGCCTAGTGAGGAACGGTGTTGGAAATTTTCTCCTTAGTATCCATGCGGGATACCGCGCTGGAGAGTGACGCTCCTTAGCATCAGTTATGTAGTGTTGGAGTAACGACACCCTGATTCGTGTGTGATATGGGGAAACCATAGTTTAAAAATGGGATAGGACGCCTTTAGTCAAATGATTTTACCATTGGATGTGAGCTTAGACCATTATGGATGTGCACTTGATCCAAAAGCCTATAGTTTCGATCAAGGTGATATAGAGAATTGGATGATAGAATGATTATATTAGTGATAAATTATTTGTTAGAAAAGAGTATGTTATAATATGCTAAAAGTACATTTTGGAGTTTAATAGCTTTACTTTCTTATGGTTGTGCATGTTAATTAATAGTAGTAAATTATTCTATTACTAATATGTTTATCTCACACCGTGGTTATATTTTACAAGTGAGAGCTTCGATAGGGGAAAGGGAAAGGAAGGGTGATTGAAGAGTGAAGAGCATTATTGTATAGCTCTTATCTTTTTTCTTTTAGGTTTTATAACGAATATTGTTATAATATTATGTCAACCTAGGATCATAATATTATTTTGATTATCACTTGTATGAATTTGTCATAAGTGTGTGTATCTTGGTCTAAGGTTGATGTTGTAGATTAAGCGTATGCTTAGCCAAGTTACAATTATAAGTGATATATTTGAAGTGATTTATGTGCCAAAATGACCAAATTGATATGCATGCTAAGTTATATCCACCCCTTTGTGTTGTTGTCAAATGGAGGTTTGGTTGTCATTTTGAGTATGAATACTTAATTGTGTGATATGATTGATTTTGTCATGTTGTGTGTAGTCTATTTAAGGTGATCAAAGTATTTCTAGGGCTAATGGCATTTAGCATTGTGAGTTGAACACCTTTGTACATGCTTTGAGGTAAAAATGAATTATTTTGGATTCAGGTGTTCATCTTTTTAATGAATAATTATTTGAGTGTGAAACCAATGCCATTAGCTAAAAGGTTCGAAGAGATTCGTTTATACACTTGAACTGCTCAAATTGAACGTTGAATGGCAAAATGACATGCTCCTGAAGTTCAGAGTACTGTCATGACAGCAATCTGCTATCATGATAGTAGGTGGGCGCCATGGCGCATGATAGTCGTGCCGTGGTGCAAATGCCTTCTGAGGGATTTGTCCCTCTGTGCCATCCGCCGCGGCGAGTATGGCTTGCATCGCAGTAGATAGACTAAACTTTTGAAAAAATAGCTTGTTTTAGCTATTTTGAAATGCTGTTTGATTTTTATGCTTCCATATTTGTATTTAACTGATTTTCAATTATGATTCAAACTTAAACAATATTTTAACAAAAGTTTTTTTGAAATCCTATTGTTTTAAACTAATTATCTTTTAAACGTTTAGGTTACGATAACTTTTACATTAGGATTTCATTTAATCCTAATTATTATAACAGCATGTAAAAGTGCTGTTTTGATGATATCAAGATAAACATTATAACCGATAACCTATATGATAAAGTGGTGTGAAAAAATTATCAACTATAAAAAAATTGTGCATAAAAAACCTCTCATTTACTTTTTACAAATGGTGGTTTATTTTCACTCTTCCTCTTTCTAGATTTCATCTTCTCTCTTTAAATTCAATCTCAGTTTTTCAACCTCTATGATTCCACCATATTTGGCCTCATCTTCTCGTCCATTCACTAATCCTCAATTTCATCTTCTTTGTGCGTCATAGACTATGACCTACCGACTTTCATCCTTGTACTCCTTGGCACTATTCGAAAGGACATCAAAATGTGTCTTTTAGTCTTGAGTTTCCATCTAACGAAAATTCATTTAAAATATGCAACTATTTATTAAATTTAATAAAAGGACATCTCAAATATTATTTGAACGTGTTTTGAAAGGTTATCCAAACAGGTCAGAAGTCACCCTTGAATTTGCACGCTTACCGTAATTAATTATATTTTAAATTTATTTATTTATTTTCCAAGTTAAGCTTCGTTCAGTTCAGTCTATCGCCTGTCGTTCTTCGCCCACTCGCCCAGCCAGACCCATGCTTCGTTCAAACTTCATAATCTGATTGAGAACCCACGAACTCATATCGGATTTGAGATTCGCTCCGGCTTTATTCATTTTCTTCATTTGCCATCATTCTAGTACGCAAGCCCTCAGATAGTCAGATCCCCGTTTCCTTTGCCTTCGTTCTTCTTCATCTCTAGACTTCAGATTAGGTGTGTACTTTATTTTAATCATATTTGTCTTCAATTTTATCTGAAGTTGTAAATGAAATCTGCTGCTGAAATATTTTGTTCATTTCGTGCTCCTTTTTTAGCTTCTCTGATATGTTGAAAATGAAATTTGCTACTGAAATATTTGTTCATTTCGTGCATCTGCTGCTACTGAAATAACTAAATAAAACCTTCCCAGGCCAGGATTCTCCCTCTTGCATCACTCGGCGCAATGCCTTCAGCTGCGCCTTCATTCTCTGGCCCAACCAACATAACGAGGGGCGCTGCTGATCCCAAAGTTGGTATTTTAAGGGAACTGAAGAGTCACGAAATCGCCGTGGATGAGCTCAACAGTCTTCCATCTTCTAGGGTATCTCCTTTTTTCGCTTCCTTTTTCTTGTTCAATTCCTGATACTCGTCTCCTAGATTTTTTGCTCCGAAGCAGAGAATTTGGTTGATTTAGCCAACGGAAATTACAAACATTAGGCTGTTAGGTTAAGGTAAAGTTAGGAAGAACTAACTTTTACAGTTTTGATAGTTACGAGTCCAATGGAAGAACTGGCTGTTAAATCAATTTGGAACCTGAACGGCGTCAGGCTTAGGTAAAGTTTGAAAGAACTAACTTTTAAGCCAATTTGGAAAGGTCATGGAATGTAAAATTTTACAGTTTTTACCTTTCAGTTACACATAACTTGTGCATAGTTCTTTTTGATGGTTTAGGTTTAATCATGTAATGCTGAGTTGTAAACAGAAAATTTTCACTTTACAGAAAACGATAATGATAATGCCACTATATTCTTGCCTCTATCTATTATTGAAGCCAGGGATCTTGCCATGCCATAATATAGCTAAACCATTGAAGATATTTAGGGCTGTGGTGAGAACTATGAAACTTTCTTATTGCCCTGAATTTCCTGTGTTGTCATATGTAAGCCATGAACCAAATGA